ACAAACATGGTATTTGCTTACACACACATAAAATGCTAGGAGCAGCATTTTTTATTCCTATCACCCAATTTTATTTTTTTTTATTATTTTTATTTTATTAATTTATTTTAAGTAAAACAGTTATGTTTTAATTATATAAACCTTAAAGAGAGGTGATTTTGAATCTCTTCATTTTTATTTTAGTGACATATTCTTTGTACAATGGCCAGAGTTCTTCTTTTTGCAGTTTAAGGCCACAAGGACTGCCGTTTTTTTTTTTTTTTTTTTTGCCCAAAGTACCTAGCTAATTTCCTTCTTTTTGTGTGGCTATATATTTCTACTGACTTTTGTCTTTGTTTTTATTTTACTGTATATATGGTAATCTTGGACAGTAAAAATCTTCTGAACCAGACCTTTTAATCATCCACTAAGTTTCCATCTTCATCATTTCCAACAGGCTATGCACTCTCATTTCCATTAAAAATATATATTTCCATACTGTGCACATATGTGAGCTGAAGCTTTCTTTTTTTATACTTCTAATAATGTATTCAAAAGGGTTGTTGCAGGTGGATCTCTTTTGTTTTATCTTCTTTCCGGTTTTATTTTTATCTGCTCTTGTTTACTTTTACTGTTTACTACATAGGATAGTTTCTGTATAACTGCCCTTGTTTGGTGTAGGTTTCATCTGTGGAGCACTATCCTTGCCATACTGGTAGTCTTTAACTTGCGGTTCTACCTCTGGAAGAAGGCACTTCACCACAGTCTTTACTGAAACATTTTACAGTACACTTTACTGCAAAGCATCTGATTTTTTTCACATTTTTGTTACTCTTTTCTGATTTTAGTGAAATATGGCCTTTTCACATATCTGATTAGCACCCCCCCCCAATCCCCGGAAATGAGATAAATGAGATAAAACAATGTATTCCTTCAGCTAGGTTTTTTTCCCCCCTCTGTTTTAGTATTGTAGTTGTATTGTTTTCTACTGCAGATACATTATTGTTCTTCAGGACCTACTTCTGTTTGTTGCAGTGTTGTTATATCAGTGTCTTCCCTTGCTTTTACAATCATTTATTTTTATAAATTCTCTGCATGCTCCTCATCTTCCTCCTTATCTCCACCTTCATTAAGAATATGATAATATACTTTTTTAGGCTTCCTGATTTGTATGTCATTTGCTTTGAAGCTGTCTGCTCTTGGCATGACGGAGATAAATTCGCAGTTGGATGCCACCTCTTTGTGCTCTTTCCTCTTTATGGAAGTTTCTGGTCTTTCCTTCCTGTCTGGCCTTTTCCATTTCATTCTACTTTTCTTTCTCATACCTCATTTTCTTTGCGGTGCATTTTCTGTTCATGCTTTTCTTTGCTTCCTCAAACTCTTCCACAGTTGACCTAGTTGCTCTGTTCAGTACCATCCTCATCCTGTTTGTTTGTTTATTCTATTGCTTTGTCTAATTTCTCATTTCTTTCTTGTGTCCTTTAATGCATTCTTTTCTGCACTCCTTACTGCTGAAGCTATACATTTTACTCTTCATCTGTTTTGATTCCTTGGAATATTCCCCCATATGTTGTCACTCTGTTTTTTTTTTAATTGAAAACCACTGATATGTACTGTCATTTTAGGTTTTTCTACATATTTTATTGCAAGCAAAACAGTGAAGGAATCTGTCCTGCAAGTTGCTATGTTCGGATGCAGAACCTTTAAATACCTAAACAGTGGCTACATCTAACAATCAAATCAGAGTCTACTCACTGTATATACAGCACACATATTCCACAGTCCTTGTACCCAGTGGTCAGGAGTATGAAGTGTACAGCAAAGTGTATATAGTGCAGCATTTAGAAGTGTGTAACACACAGAGTGCTGAGCTCAGAACTGCAAAATGCACAAAGTAAAGGTGTCACAAGTTAGCCGCTTGTGTTTGTTTATTCTTACCTCCTTGCTGCTCCTGATTCCTTTCACATGTGTGTTTGTCTCCTATGGGCATCGTCTGCTATCCTCTGGGTTTTATTTCCTTCTCTTTCATCACTTCCTGGCCCGCCTCCTTGTTTGCTTGTCTATATAAGATATGCTCAGTCTAGGCCACTTTGCCTGAGCAACTTCCTAGTTGTCGGAGCTCCTGTGTGTTGCTATTGCCTGTATCCTGCATTGACTACTTGTGTACCGACCCCAGCTTCATTCTCTGACTGTGCTTGTTTTCTGCCTGTCCTGACCTCAGCTTGTCTATTGGATTTCCGTTTTGTCTCATCCCATTGTACTCTGCTCTCGCAAACAGTCTCCTCATCCTCAGCTGGGCGTACCTTGGGGCCGTGACCTGGTCCCAGCTTGCTGCAAGTCCATCCCCACCATCAGGGGCTGTGGTGAAGAAGCAGGCTGGGGCTTAGACTCCGCGCCCTGGGGAACCCCAAGTTGACCATCTACAAGGACTCACTACCACAGGTGCTGACAAAATGGCGAAGGAGAGGGACCTGCACAGGGAACAGGACTTAGGCATGTGTTTCACCAAGGCTGCAGGGCTCAGGAATGAATATCGCACAGGACAAAGAGCTCAGGAGAGCTTATCACAGAGGACATAGGGCTCAGAAGTGCATATTGCACTGGGGCAGGGTTCAGGATTAAAGATGGCACAGGGTTCAGGAGTGCGTATTGGACAAGGGCGCTTGACTCGAGTGCATATTGCATAGGGCACAGGACTTAAAAGTGCGTACTAAACAGGGTTCAGGGCTTAAAAGTGCGTATTGCACAGGATACAGGGCTCAGTAGTGCATACTGCACAGAGCTCAAGAGGGTGCAGGGCTAAGATTGCATATTGGATAGGGCACCAGGTTTAGGAGTTAGTATTACATAGGCAAGTGCACACCCCCCAAATTCTCTTTTCTCCAGGTTTAGGAGTTAGTATTACATAGGCAAGTGCACACCCCCCAAATTCTCTTTTCTCCAGTACATAGCCCTCCCCTTGCACCTTTAAGTTCCCCCAAGTGCAGAGCTCTTCCATCCTTCCTTCCTTCACTCATCAGAACGTCTATACTTTGGCAGTGCATTGTGACGGCAAGGCCTCCACTTGGCTGCCCTTAAAACTGAGGAGGAGCCTAATGGGAACCTTTCCTTGGCTCTAAAAAGGTGTTGTATCTGCAGCCTGACAACAGATGAAGCTGCTGCTACAGTGTAGGGGGTAATGCCATAACAGCCCCATATTAAATAAAATAAGAATAGTCAGGTGGTTGCAGCCTGCAGCTACAATAAATAATCATAATAATGAAAACTTAACATGAAATCACAGTTGCCAGTATAGTCAATCTACCAATCTAATCATCATGTAAAAATCTCCAGATTGTATATCTACATATTCATAATATCCCAGCCAAAAGCTGATGGATTATATTGCCTTGACTTTAGCAGATGAGCTCCTCACTAATCAGTTTTTGTTTACATTACAGAACAGTTTTAGTAATGTAACCATCCCTTTAAACACATGCTGAAGTCATATTGCTGTCACATCCATTCATGGTGGTAGGCAGACTGCATAGATTCAATTACATTTATACTTGTCCATATTTCCTTATGTCTCCATTCACCTAGTGGGCAGGGTAGAAAGCCAAGCTGTGACGCATGTGTGGGGCTTCCGAATGCCAGGCTGTGCCGGTACTCCATACCAGCACTTTTGGCCAAAAAAAGCCTGTATACTTTTATATAATGTATACCCTTAAATACCATATATTCCCTGAAAACCTTTGTCACTTGTCAGTGAGTGGGAAAGCCTTTACAAATTAGATTAGACCATATTGTAATTAGGGTGTCTGGATAATTCTCTACTTTATGTATAATGAGTCACAGAAAGTCTAAGTCTATGTGTCAGAATTTATCAGAACACATGCTTCACGACACAAATCCTCTCATCAAAGCAGACTATTAGTACTCTGTTGAACAGTGTTTGAATCCATTTTGCTGATAGTGATCTGATTAGATATCTACCCAATATATTTAAATCTATTTTTACGGATAATGTGCAGGCGTATACAAAATTAGTTTTTATCCATATGAGCTATAATAAGTAGGTTCCATGGTCCTATGATCATGTCAACTCAAGCAATGGGGGCCAACATGAAGGACCTGATGTCGGCAAAGTCTGACTTCAAAGTACATTAAGACTTGCTAGGAAAGAGCTGCTGTGTGTCATGTAACTTAATCACCACTTTAGGTCACATGGCGTGAAACCAAGGTATTCAGGGGCTTGATCAGATATTCTGCCCCTTATGTATCAATGGGTCAAGTCAGGCTCAATGCAAATATATTTCTTGCTTCCAGATGTTTTCCTCCCTTTTGCCAATAATCCCCAGATATTCCACTGTCCTTGTGGTATTCCAAAACTTACTAACACAGTGCACCCAAAATAATGCTAACTGTGCTTGTGCAAATCCACTTTACAACCACCACTGTGCTGGAAACCCATGCAGATGGATTCTCACCAGAATATGCCATCCCTGGTTCTAATAGGGTCCAAACAGGCTCAATATAAAGGAACACAGCCACCACCTGCTCACTTGTGTTCTATTGTCACTCCAAATGTTCCAAAAGCCTCTTGGATTACTCAAATGAATAGTATGGAAAAACACAGATGATGGTGTAGTAAGAATTAAAAACACAATTTATTGCAAAATGTGCAAAATGCTTAAATGATTTTAATCCTACTACACTAGCTGTGTTTTCCCTTACTATGGCAACAACTGCCTTAAACCTTTGGGTTGAACTGTCGCAGCTGAATTGTACCATGGCAATCAAAAAATGTAGCCCCACAATGGAGACCCTCTCATTTCCAGCATACCTCAGTTTTTTTTTTCTAGTATGCTAGCAGGAGGGATGTCTCAGTGTTTTTTTTTACAGCTGTGTAACAACTTATTAATTTTAGCAGTTTTCTTCAGTAACAACTTAATTAAGGCTAGCACTTACCTTGTCCTGCGCTCCTTTACTAATATGCTGCTGAGCTCTGTCTCTTCAATTGTAGGTTTGATGAAGTTATCCTTAACCTCCCTGTTGGTATTCCCGAGTGTAGCTCGGGGTAAAGTTTCACTACCAAAAGCGGTAACCCCGAGCTACACTCTAGGGCTTAAAATGCGTGTTCTACTCCGACATCTGTTCTTCACTTACCTTGTCCTGCGCTCCCGCGATGTCCCTCCTGCAGTGTCCCCAGCAATGTAATCCGGCGGATGCCGGCATCTGTCTTCTGTGTTCTGTCCCTGCGAGCGTCAGGACGTATGGGGGACGAAACTGGCGGGAAATTTGAAAATGACAAAAAGTGACATTCACTAAATACACTAAAATCACATAGTAAAACATTACTGTATCAAACCATTTCACATACATTTTGTCCCGAGTGCTTTGTCCTGTGCCCTGCCTGCATTTTTACTGTTCTGTCTGCCTGGAAACTGAGAAATGTCCATGGCGTCCAAAAAGCGTCCCTTTAGGTCAAAATCGGTTTTAGACCGGCTAGAGAACAGCGATAGTAAATCAGAACCACTTGCAGAATTGAGTGATAATGATTTGTGGGGAAATTCGTCATCAGACACTGAAAACGATTTTGCGACTTGATGTGCAAACTTGGCGCTATATTTAAAATTTCAGTGTTTTTGGTTTGATTATATTATTGAATTAAATTTATTATTATTATATTATTATTTTTTATCATTATTTATTAAATTATAATTTATGATTTCGTGTTTCAAATTTTATCATACCCGGGATGTTTACTAGACTCTTGTTCGGACGGATTTCAGCGAGTTATTCCTAAAAATTACAGGCCTACAATAAAAAAAATACATATTTCCATGCAAAAAAAGTACCGCTTTGAGCACAGAAATATGGACATAATCAGACCGCTAGGGAGGTTAATTTGGCTTTTGCAGTAACATGAGACCCTGCTGGACTGGATATGCGGGGATAGCCTGGAAGTGGCCTTCAAGTACAAGGTTCCTCATTGGGCACTTATCTGACTGCATTTTAGTTTAAAGATAGCTGCAGAGCCCTTTCCAGATCCAGACCCATTGACATTGTCTCAGCACTTGCCCTGTCTCTGGAGACTGACAAAGTGAGTAGGTGGACTAGGGAAGCACTGAGCACTGCTTAGTTTGTTGGGTTGTTTTATTCCCTGTTTCCCTGGATTTTTTATGGAAGGGGTTAATGCTGTGGATCTGAGCACTCCATTATAACCCATTAGGTGGAGCGTTTTTTTGTGTGCTGTTTCTTGCATTGAGCATCAAGGAAGCATCTGTTTGCTGCTGATCCTGCTTGACAAGAGCCACATGGAAGTTTGATCTTTGACCTCCGAGTTCCCTGATGACATCCTATTGGACAAAAAACATAAAGAGGAGTCTAAGTGCTGACGATCAGATGGCGTTGGCTCCATTTCTGAGTTATGTATGAGATTTACAGTGATTGTATCTGTAGTTTTAATACAATTACTACACTATGTCCCTGTTTTGTCTGCTCCGTTTGGGGAACTTTGTCAACTCGGCATATGTCAATCTGTTAATCCTACTGGATGAGAGAGGAGAGATGATTCAGGCTGATAGTGTGGTGACAAGTAGGGAGAGTGCTGCCATTTCTGATTAGGCTGTTGTTGCTACGTACTTTGCAGCCCAATCTTCTGGTGAGTGTTGAATTGGACTGGGTGCGGAGTTGCCATACATTGGAAAATTAGGCATTTAATTGTATTAAGGTAGTGGATGACTCAATATTTCTGGTACCTGGATGAACTTTATTACAGTGACTTTTTTCATGTCACATTTATGTTGTATTATCACGCTGCACACTGTTTGCAACAATTTGTATTATGTGAATGTATAAGTTGGAGATTGCAAATGCATGGCTTGTGCATTGGATGTATCACTTTTTGTTTTAATTGAACCACTTTCACAGTATTTTGACAATTTAGGTGCTACAAACAGATTTATTGAATTGTCTTGGGGTCTGTATATCAATGTATAGCCTAGTTTTGCAACTGGATCCTCTTCCTTCATTCTGAGGTTTTTGTGTTCTTGCTAGAGTTCTTGTCCTATATCACCCACTTATTTGCTGACTCTGATCACAGAGGCCACCATTTCTCAGATTTGTCAGTCTGCCACCTGGTCTTTGGTTCACACGCTTTCTACGTTCTGCCAGGTTAATGTAGCGGCCTCATCTGATGCCAGCTTCAAGTATAAGGTCATTTAGGCTGCTCTTTGAGCTGCAGGCAGTTGCCAGTTTTTGCGTCGTCTTCTTGGGCCTGTTAGAGATTGATTTCTGTGTCGCCCACCCCCCTCACTTTGAATGCTTTTGGGCATCCCAAAGGTTTAAGACTTCCTTCATCCCTCAATGGATGAGGAAAAGAATAAAATAGTTGTACTCATCCCCCCCCCAAATCCTTTTCTTGGAGTCTAGTGAGGCATGCTGGTAGTGGGAGTGGTTATTCTCAGCTAGCCTACAATTTTTTAGTTTGCCAATTCTCCTGAAGGCAGTATAACCCAATGGAGACCCAGTAGAACTATAGGCGGAACTTTTCTTTTTTCATTTTGGATAGAGTAAGGCTGGATTGTAACCTCTGTCAGTTTTACTTTTTCCATCTGTGTCCCATTGGGGAGATTTACTTTTGCTTCCTATCCCATAGCCAAAACAGGAAGTGAGAGGAAATACATGCAATTTAAGAGAATTCCTTGGGGACCCCAGTCCAGCAGAACTAGTGTCCCATTGGAAAATGTCCCCTCTATCAGTAGCAGAATGTTATAGAGGGGTGGGATGTCTGGGTCAGTTAGGTAGTTCAGCTCTCCAGGGTATCATCCCAAATACATATGATGCTAAAATACTCATAAAATTGGAAACTTGTATCTCTATTCCTCTTTATTTCTTTTCTGGGGACAACTCAAATTTGGGGTTTCTTTTACTTTCACTTTCGATGATAAGTTTGCCTGTAGTTATACTTTAAAGAGTTCCTGTGTCCCACAATGGACTCCAAGAAAGGGATGTTTCAACGTGTACAGAAATCCTACTTTGCAATTAAATTCCCTAAGGTCTTTATTATTATCCATGAAAACATCACAAGGAGCTTGATTAATGCAAAACATTCTCTAAATCTGTATTGTCACTTGGTATGTCTGTTTATGACTACACTCTCTCATTATTTTGTTGCAATGCACATTAATCAATTGGAGAACTTCTTGGTGGAACATTTGGGTAAAATATATACAAGGTGGTAATATATTGTCACTGACCAAAAGAAAAAGTGAGGATAGTATTGATATGGCTCATGAGCCATATAATGGAGATTGCTGCTTTGTAGTAATTTAAAACCGTATTCCTTGAGGATCTTTCCCTGGAAAACAGAGAGCTTCAAGCAGATACGAGCAATATATGCTTAATTGCCCGCATCATGTGTATTACATTCACAGGGCACTGCAGAATGCATAGAATTAGTCTATAACCTTTTTTTCAACAGTAGCAGAACAGAAGGATCAATGGATTGCTATAGAGAGTTGCACATATTCCATCAAGATGATAGGGTTAACGCTCCCCATTCTCATATATTAAATTATATTCAATATAGAATCCCTCTTTCACCTTATCTAATATACTCCCGAGGATATACCATTATAAAATCAATTGCACAGTGAGAAGGGCGGTATAAGGATGTCAGTTCTGCTCTGTGACCACTGAACAGTGATTCAATGTCTCACCTATCATTTCACTGCTGAAAGAATGAGTGCTAGGGTATTGTGTTTCAGGGACTGCAAAGTGGTCAGGGTTACCATTTAATCTAAGTCAGAAGCTGTCTCAGAGGAGAAATAAGCTGTCTCCTCCCTTGGCTATAGTATATAGTGCACTATATGCTACTGAAAACTTGTGCTTTAGTTATTTACTGTGAGGTTAGGAAGGTTCAGGTCATGTTACAAATTCACACATTGAAGCAGAACTGCACTGCATCTGGGCAAAAACAAACTAAAAGTGCTATTTAATTCATTTTTAACATTCAAAGCAAACTCCCCCATCCATCCATGTCTCCATGCTTTATTGTGCTGAGAAATCACTTAGAAAAACACCCCCTAGCTTTTCTGGCTGTGGCCATCTTGAGTAAGGACTGATGATTCATGTAGCAATTATTTCCTGGAATCCATCTGCCTTTAGCATAGGCATAAAGGCAGGAGGGTGTGCTTAGCTAAGAAACCCCCTCCTCCCCTCCTGAAGACTCCTAGGATGTATGACATCATTTGCCTAGGCATGGAAACTAGGAAGTATCTAAAGAAATGTAAAAAACTATTTAAACAAGTAAATATGATATCATTTTCTATCTATTTACTAATGCTAGCAGCATTAGGATGCAAAATAGTTTATGCTGAATGAGAGAACAAAGTTCCACTTTAACTAATAGGAATGAAAGTCTATATGGGAACCATTACACTGTAGTTTTCCCCAATATTACAAACATATTTTCACACAAGCAAATAAAGGCATACAGACACATTAGACAGTGCACTTCAAAAACACATAACCAAAAATATTGTAGATTTCTGATACACCCAACGTACAGTCTTCTATAATCTGTACATATATTGTAAACACAATTTCAGGTTTTATATTCAGATAGTCTAAAATCTATATATTTTTTGGATGTAGGTTTATGTTTACTTATGAACAGTCCAAAAAACATGAAGTTTTAGCTGAAAGTTTACAGCTATCCTAATCAAATTTTCCTAAAACTTTGATTTTCTTAATTTACATTTGGCAGACATTTATACAATAGACACTGTGTAGTTTGTCCTTGATACTGTTGTACTAGAAGATTTTGAGATTTTATACATTTTGTTGAAGACCAGACGATATTGCTCCAGAATCTCCTTACAGAAAATGTAAATCCAACATTTCATATTCCTGGTATGTGCCTGCTGTACCATGTACTCGTATGAAAAAGTATCCTGTTCTTTGTATTGCTTCCTTTGTGTGAAATTGCTGATGCTCCTGACAGTCCCTTTCCTTTCAAATTAATAACTGACAAAACTAGGCATGAGAGCATAGCTTGGTCAGTGTTCTGGCTGTGCTGGAACTCAATCTGCTGTCCTCCAGCGATCAGACTTCTACTCACATCCCCCCCCACCACACACACACACAGCCATTCATTGGAAAGTTCAGTGTGCTGTATTTTCACCTCCCCCAGATCTCTGTTCTCAGCTGCACGAGGAGCTTAGAAGGTATGTGACCAGTTATGCAATGAGAGAGTGTGCAACTGTTAAGTCCAACCAGTGATAGGGATGGGCAGGCCCGATATATGTTTCAGGGGCTCCGTCCTTTTCAAAGACATCTCATTCATATGGAAACAGACAACATTTTTACAGTTCCAC